AATGTCATAGCTCAATTTTTTTTCAATTTCAACTGTGTCAATACTTGTAATCATTCGTGTTCCTACATATGGCCAGTTAGACTTTAACCTTTTTTATGTCGTGTCATGTAAATCCACGATACAAAACTACATAAGTTTATTATGTAAGAGAATGTGATTGTTGATTGTTGATTTTTAAAGACACATTCCATACATTTCCGTATATTAAAGTGAGTTTTTTATTTGTTTGTTACGCTGTCACGTCTAAGCCAGTGACGGATTTCAAAATTATATTACCAATGGAAAGATCATTGATGTACACTTGGTTGGCAAATAAAGATTTGATTTGATTTGATTTGAAGCTACGTTATCAATGAGTAACGTAGGCTCCTTGTTACCCACTTGCAAAATCTAGTTATTACATTATAAAGGTCAGATCACATCACACATCACATCAACAGCCTTTAACAGTCCACTGCTGGACATAAGGCTCTCCTTAGAAAGGAGGTTTTGGCCTACTATACCACGCTGGCTAGACGGGTTGGTATAGGGCTTGTATCAAGTTTTCCTTCTGTCTGCAGTGCTGTTGCTCTGCGTAGTTTTTCCCTTAGTCGGCTCTTGCGACACCCACGCGATGAATAAAGGCCAGATGTTAATTAAAATTATAAAGAAGGTATACCTACTGATTGGTTTGCACAAATTAAGAATGAAGTTGTCAGTTTTGACAACCTAAAATTTTAAACGCACACTGTTAGGTATACAGGGTTACTGGTTTTTCTTTGACGAATATTTAAACTGATGGATATTTAAGCTGACAATACGTACATGTTCTTTAACACATCTGCTACTTAACTGTTATAGATTTTTTTTGAATATTCGTAAAAAAAAACATGTACGTATTACATGTTTTTTTAACAAATCTGCAACTTAACTCTCATAGTTTTTTTAATTACTTTTTTAAAAATTTATATCTTTTTGCCATTATCAACCTACTTCGGCCCAGTTTGTTAACTACAATTTTAGTGACAGAAATTACAAAACAACGTACCTACCTATCAACCAAACAAAAATCATAAATGAAAAATTAGAAAATGTAAGTTATGAAAACAAAAAAATATTTGGCAATATTTCGCAATTTTTATAAAAATCTAAAAGTCCAATATCTTCAAAACGGTCATGTTTGGGATATGGTAGTTCATAATGAAATCTATCAGAAACAGTGGCAACTACAACTCCTTAAAGTATCTAGGTCGACTTAACCAGTAACCCTAGTAAGGTACCTATATTTTCTAGTATAACCTGCATGTCATCAAAAAATTAAGAGTGATGTTTATTACTTGGCGCAGAGCAGCTGCACTGCAACTAGCTATTATCATAATTCAACAAAATGTTTATAAGGAAGACACAAGTAGGTAGGTAGATAGGTACGTCTTAGAATAATTTAATGTCAACGTAATTGTTCTGGAAACTTACAAAGCTGCTGCATTTGTAAGGAACCAACCTTGGAAAAATTTCTTCTTAGACTGTACAAAGAGTGCCTTATAAATGTTTAGTATACAAGTAGTACGAAGATTCCTATCACAACAAGAAAAAGTGCCGGAAAGGATGGTACTAATTTGTCAATTCATGTTGAAATGTTTTAACCTTAATATTATTATCGTCAACTCCGTTGCAGCAGTGTTTTATTGCTTTTTTCTTGCTGTTATCAGCTTGGACAGACAGCAAAAATCTTTTTTTAAGTTATTTAATACCTACCACTATTGTTTCTAGGTGACGACAGTTACTGTCGTGGCCTACCGTCGTCTATAAACTACTGGAGTTTATAGCCCACAGCATGCGCTGGCTGGACTACTAACTCGCTCTGTCGTTAAAGTCAATAAACTGTAAACTTGCCTATGCTGCCACCTATGTACGATGTAATAATTCGTTAGGTATTTAAAACATAATTGCGTAGTACTTGACCGTACATATAGATGGCGCTATTATAAATATCATTTTGATCATTTCCCCTTCAAATTGTTGAACTTCATAAGTTGAAGTAAAATACTCTTTCATTCTCAAAATTTTTTTTTAGCTCCACCACAGGTCTACACAAAATCCTTTGACAGTTTGTCTTTCAAATACATGACATTGGCGAAATTGTGGTTACATTCTAGCCTCTAACAGTTACAATAACCATGTAAATAAATTTTATCAGACCCCATCCAACCATTTAATCTTTAAGTAGTAACAGAAATACACCTTTAGTTCTAACAGGATTACTTTCTCACGGTGATTTTTACTTACCTACTACAGTGCTAGAAGGATACAACTATTGCTATAGGAAATTAAAAAAAAACAATTAGGTACATATATCTAACATTTAATAAACTTTTCTAATATTCTAACATATTGACACATAAGTGCTACACAATTCTTTAAAATAACACTTTCGTTTTCATTACCTATTCTACTCAAAGATTCCTTAATTCTGTCCAGCTTATCTCTAACCATTGGTGTTATTATTTCGTTTAGGTTCTTATCATTAGAACATATTGCTGCGGAATAAATTAACCTACTGACATCAGAGCTATTATCATAGTAATATTTTACCACCATCAATAAACCATAGAAATTGAAACTTAGGCCTTTGCAATCTATATAGAGATCTTTGTTTAGAGCATGACTATTTATGAATGAAAGCTGCTCTTGCGATAATTTCAATGAATTTAACTCGAGGAATGTAATCACATCTTCAAAACTAAATGATACATAGTCTAATTCATTGTCGGGTATGAAAAAACCATATTCAGTTATTAATTTAAGATTGTGGCTATCTCCGTAACATATGAATACCTGTGTATACGGATCAAAATTATTTTTTGTGTAAATCGAAAATTGTACATCGGATAATAATTTTTTATCTATTTTATTTAAAGTTATATTCCTTATATTTCTGCTAACCACTAATTTGGTTTCATTCCTGGCACTGGGACTATGGTTAATCATGTCTAAATATGGACATAAAGCTATTGCGGTATTATCACTTATAAGGTTAATAATTGAAATCTCTATACTTTTTAAATCAATCACTTTGGATAAATCCATGAACACACACCTAGTGTTAACAGTAAAATAGGCCCACTCATAATCAGACAGTGAAAAACTCTTTTTAAACTCTACAATAGTTTTATCTTTACTGATATTACTTAATAAAATATTTTCAAAAATGCTATATGTGGAATTTATAATATCTTTCTGTTTAGAAACCACAGACAATATATCATTATCAATATTCTGCTTAAATTCATTTGGCAAAAAATAAGGAACTGTGTACTCGTTTGGTAAACTTTCTAAATAAATGCTCCATTTTGTATTTCCTTTCTGGTGACTTAAAAAGGTCACATAAAAGGCCATTAAAGACTGAAATGACACAGACTGCTTATATTCTACTAAACATGGTTTAAAATTTTCTAGAAAAACACTACAAAACAAATTGTCCATCAAAATCGTGGTAACATTAATAGTTAAGTTTAAGGGTAAACTTATAAGTTCCTCTCCCTTTTGTATCTTCCTTTTAGTCAACACACCCCGGCCAGTATCATCAAATATCGCCAAAACTAGCTTTTCATTGCGTCGCATATCATTTTCTGCCAACCATGTATTTAACAAGACTATTTCTTCTTTGGCATCACATGCGCAAAAATTGCGCTCTTTCCTTAAGCTCCTCTTACGCCGGTAGCGCCCCATTATTATATTATTAAACTATGAAACAATTCATCGAAAAATCTGTATGTTCAAATTTTATAAAGAATATAATTTTAAGTGATATTTTGTTTATTTTATGTACAATTTTATTTTTAGAAGGTAGAACTGTTTGTTGACATCATGTCATTATTTTCATATTAAATTTAAATAAAAATGCGTTTTGATACCAAGTTACTTCCATGGTTAACAAGATTTTTGCCAATATAAGTTTTTTAAGTATAAGAAAAGAAAACAAAATAATAAATATAGCTCAAAAAAAGTAATAAAATACTTAAACTAAAACATCATCATTACATAAAAACCATTTGAATGTTATTCTGGCAACGAGCTAAATGCTGAAACGAAACGCAAAATCAATAACATATTCGTCCAAGAATTTATAAGCGTGTTAAATGCTACAAAAATCATAGGTTGGGTTGATTAACTATTGTAAATTAAAAAAAAAATGAATTGATATTTTTATTATAATCAGTATTTGTTTTAAATTTAAATATTAATAATTTTACTTGCTTAAAACGCGATGTAAAATGTTGAGACACAAAATTAATAAGACGTCTTTTTTCAAGAATTCCTGACGTGTGGCAGGTCACGAAACGTGATGTATCCAGCTCAAATTATAAACCAGACCTATTTAGCATGATAATAAATTTTTAAGTTAATAATAATTAATTGACTTATGTATTGACTACTGAATTATATTCAACTTATTTGAAACTGGTTTTTAAAAAGAATTTGTCAAACCTACAATAAATATACATATTAGATTCAGAATCATTTAAGTAGTATTGTTGCGTTTACGCATGATTGTATTTTGTGTGTAATGTGTGATGAGCTTTTTGCATATAAAATCTTCTGAAAATATACTTGGACCTGTTTTCGTCCTAACACTTATTAACTTGATATATACTTGAAATACGCATCTATCTTATAGTTTCCCACTATTTTTTATTACCGGTAGTTTTATTGGTATTTGGACTTCCGCTCTCTGCGACATCACGGGGTTCAGGACATTAAGTCACTGGTATACCGTACAGAGAAAATCTATTAGGTAGATAAATAAGAATAAAGAATGGAAAGTAAATTATAAGGGTTTCATTCATCACGCAAAAAGGAAAAAAAAAGTGATTTTCTGTGTACTTTAAAATTTGGAAACACTTTTAATTTGGCAACACTGTATTTGTATTCAAACGGCTGTTTTTAAAAGCGAAAACCGGCAGCTTTTCGTTATATCTTGACCGGCTTAATTTATTGAACCAGTACCATATATTTGAAGGATGTCTCAACAACAAACCAAAAACTGTATTACACTTCGTGGATCTGCTCAAATCATCTGTGAATATTTAAGTAGGTTCTGTTACACTTAAAACGCAACCACGAGTTTTAACACTTTTTTACACACATGCGAGTTTGTTTGTTGTTTTCCTGATTTTCGAACGCTATTTCCTTAATCACTGTTTAATTTTCAGAGTTCGCCATAAACTCAGTATTGTTCCAAAGAGGTTTATATCCACCTGAAAACTTCAAAGCTGAGCAACAATACGGCATTACATTATTGATATCGGAAGATCCACAAATTAAGAGCTTTTTAACTAATCTTCTCACCCAGAGTGAAGGTAATTTATAAACAATAAAACTATATTTTTATAAGAATGATACTGCGTAAAAGCTAAGGTAGACTGTTATCGAATTAACCCATATAGTTATCGTCACTTCTGTGTGCTGTTGTTACCAATAAATCATTTTTGTATTTCGAATAAGTTTGAAATAAAAGAATCGTGTTATGTAATCTGTGTCTAAATCAATAATTACTCGTGTATTTTTTTAATAGTTTTCATTAATAGTTTATTAGTAAATCTAAAATATTAAGTGAACCATTGCATTTGTGTTGAAACAATAAAAAAAATCTATACTTAATTATGAGACATTTGCAATCAAAATTAAGTACTTTCTGCATTATGAGCCTTATATAACAAGTAAATTTTTCATGTCATTATAGATATTAACAGTTTGGCTGGCAGAAACTTTCCTTCAGTATGGAACTGCTTGATGTAATTTTCTTCATAGGTGTTGGGATGTTAACTTTATTGGCTCAATGTTGTTGCAATTTACGAAACTTGAAAAACACTTTTAAGTATGGAGTTGTAATTTAAAAAACTGGTGTTATATAAATTTAATGATATAGTGATACTAAAATTCAAAATTAAATATAAATTTGAAACAGTCCCCCTGACTATGAAACAAAGAATATCTGTGTATGTATTTAGAAACATATAAGTATGTTTAGCGTCAGTCTCATAACCAAAGTACAGACTCTGCCTAGCTTGAGATCAAATGGCCATGTGTGAGATTTTCAATTTATAAAATTTTATAATATAAATTTCAGAATGGATTGTCAACAAAAAAGTAAGCAAATTATCTCTAGTTATCCTCAATGTAGCCAATAAAGAAGTACTTGAATGCTGGGATTTCAACGTCCAGTATGAAGACGGTGACATTGCATTATCAAAAGAAAAGAACGAAACTGTGAGTAGTAAAGATCTGAAAAAAATCCAGCAGGAAATCAGAGATGTCATGTTGCAAGTAGCCGCTACTATATCATACCTACCATTCTTAGATTGTCGATGTTCTTTTGATGTGTTAGTTCATGCAAAAACGGACTGCGATGTGCCTGAAAAATGGGCAGAGGCTGAACCAATATCCATAACAAACGCACAAAATGTTCAACTGAAGTCATTCTCTACAAATCTACATAAAATGGAAACCGTTGTCAGCTATAAGCTTGTAGATTAATAAGACTTAAAAAACCAGTAGTTGGTTAAATTTATGCAACATTGAAAAATGAAATAAGTAATATTATGCTACTATATTTCAAATTCACATGTTGTACCTTTTAGTAAAACGTAGCTACATGATCACATAAACCAGAAACTCTTACAGTATTATAATTAAGTGTATGATAGTGTGGTAACAAAAATGTCTTGTATTCTCACTCTATTTAACTCATACAGGTTAAATTAGAAACAAAAGATGTTATGTTATGTCCTAATATTTAAACAAATATTAGAATCAAATCAGTACTCAACTATTACAGTTGTCTTTTAAAGTACTTTGTTTTTAAATTTTAGTTTGGCTTACTGATATCACAGCTGTTCTCTTCAATCGGTTAACATTGAAAACCAGTATCCCCTTTTTTTGTGTTATAATCAATGGTTATAATATACAAATTGTTTCAGTTGGCCCTTTTTAAAACCTAAATGGGCTTGACACTAAATTGTTATGTAAAGTATGTTAAGTAAAAAATACACAATTGACTGTATAAATTGCCTATTATTGGATACATAGTTTTAAAAACTTTAATATAATATAGCACCACCACTCAAATAATGTTAAAACTAAATAAAAATATCATTTTTTAAGTTTTAGTTAAAAAAAACAACAACAAAATGGTTTTCAATGAGTTAAAAGCTTGCTAAATCTATTTTTGTAGCTCTAAGCAAGCTAAGTTCTAACGTTACACGCCTCAATAATTTAATTTTTTTAATTGTGATGGTACTGGAGTGGAAATCCAATTTGTGTATATTACATATTTTAAGTTTTTATTTGATAACACTGCTATAAAAAGAAGTAAATAAAGATATTTTGAGTACTTACCAAGTATTGATAATATCCGCGGTTTAGTGAGCCTTGTTTGCGTTTATAAATAGGGACTTACTAAATGTGAATTATGCAACAAAACAGTTTGTGTACATGTACTTATTGGTTTTTAAAATGAGGCCAGCTGTTCTGTGTCATTATTTTTACTGTTCCCAAAGTTATTGGCACTTTAATTATGCTTTCAAGTTACAAAATACTTAAACTAAAAGTAGACTAAATGTGCAGATCCAAAAGTTTTATATTTGCACGGAATGGTATTGTATTAAAGATTTTGTATGTATTGTATTTGTATTTGTTTGTAATCTTATCAAAACAAAATACCTAGTCTTGATTTTAAATAAACTTGATTATGCATTTGGATAATTTAACATTACTCTTCAAATTCTCTATTAAATATGATGAGGTTCACAGCCAATATTATTTTGGCTAATTATGAAGATCGAACTGTTCAATTAAATTAATGTAGAAATAAAATTGGATCACTGGATGAGAGAAAAGATAAAATAGGTAATTTGGTCTCCATGAAAATAAATTGTGTAATAAAATGGTAGATACATATTTTATCTTAGGATTGTGAGTTACAGAAAAAATAATAGATGAGTGTTGTTGTGTAAATAGATTATGTATAAGTGCCCTGCGGTCTGCATCACCCCAGGTCTGAGTGATGAGGCTGCATGCTGTAATGTTACATTGCTCAGAATCCTTGGTATAGTTCACAGTTGTGTCATTTGCAACTTGTGGTTTGCAGTCCCGCTAGGACTGGTACTTGTTGTGTATACTTATAAGGGAATAGAGAAGATTTATGTAATCTAACACAGTTTTATGATATTTATCATTTAAGTGTTAAACCTTCTCAAAATTTCTAAGTACTCCTGTTTTGATCAATATCTAGTTTTCTAGGAATCCTTTGAAGTATTGAAAATAAATTATCAACATGCAACTACCGTAACTTTTTTTAGTCTAAGTTTATAAATATTTAAAAAAAAACAATAAATAAATAGGTTTTATTCCTTTTTTTGCAAAAATGATGTCTTTGGTTTGATCGTTTACGAAGTTTAGGTATATTGCCTATTTTATTGAGAACCTCCTTTTTTAATCTGTTGTTTGAGTGTAGCAAAATCGGCAGCATTTGCAATTTCGCGCCAATTTGTAAAAAAAACTGATTTAAGTACATTTTCAGTTAAGTACTATTTTTTATTATTAATATTATTATCAAGGCTTAGTATATTCACATTATGATGCACGTTTAAAAACTAAAACATTGTCTGGGTGTTATTTGTGTCCGTTTTATTAACGTTTGTAAAGAAGCGACACAGGATTCCTAGTGCGGGACTTGTCTTTTTTAAACAGAAAGAAAGATAAGATAAGGAATGTAGATTTTAATTTCTACCCCATCATCAGCTAATTGAGAGTGAATTGTGTGCGTTATAACCTTTAATCAACTTTGTAATGAATTAAAAAATATCACTTATAAACATAATTATGCAAGAGAAGTTTGCGTAAAGTAGGTACTGCCTCATAAGCGGTGAGTTAAGGTTCTAAGTGAGTCCCCAATACTTTGCCCCTCGTCTTGTACTCGAGTAGTAACAGTAGATTTAAGTATTTTTATACCTACCAAGTAAGATTTTAACTGTAATATAAAACTTCTATTTTGTTATTTGTTTTTAATTTAAAACTTAATTTCAAATAGAATATTAAATGAAATACCTACCTTATCTTGTTAATATTATTATATTTAAAATAAATAAAACCGGTATATTTTTATGTTATTGATTTGATGCAATATTGTAGGCAGGGTAATGTTAAACCATGCCGCTAATCCCTGGGTAGCTTGACTCGGACCGGCTTCCACCATCTCCATCAATTCGGCGTTATTCACATTCGTTATTCAAGTCGAAGTTGAAAGTTAAGTTTCCATCACGAAAGCGTTTAAACTAAAAACGCACGGTGGGTTCATTGGCTCCTCTCCAAACGCAACGTTGATATTGCGACAAAAACAATTGAAAATCGAATGTTGCACATTTTTTAAAAGAAGAACCTCATAGGTACCTATCACGTGAAAAAAGTTTCACACGTAAATCTCACTCCATGAAGGTTTTATGTCAATTTAAACTTCAACTTCATACTTTAACCCCTATTATTGGATTTAAAATTTTGACTTTAAAACATTGACTCGACCCTTGTTTATAGTTTCTAGATTGGCCATCGTCGAATAACTGTCAACCATCATCAACAAAAAAAACTTTATCAGGCCTCAAGCATTAAATCGAGATCCTTAGATTATTACATATAAATAATCTAAGTCGAGATCTTAATTTATAAAGAGTGGTGTCTCAATGCATCTCAGCCACTGTCCTTATGATCCTCCGATTTTGCGACCCGCTCAAAATCTTTCAACAGCAACTGGTTGTCTATATGCCTCTTTAAATCTGTCTTGACCAGTGAGTGACCTTGTAAATCATGTTCAGACGAAATAATATTGTCTTATAGTTAGGTACTTATTTGTATATCTGTTAACTTGACTCGTATTGTACTCGTACCTACATCAAATACCAAAAGATGTCTCTTCTCAGTTGAAAATTATTATATGTACCTTTATATTACTGTATCTATGTATAGTTTTTTAATGAATAGGTAAATGGATTTGTAAAATTTATGCATGTTAAATATTTAAAAAGCTAAGATTATTTATTGCTCGAACTTTTATATACCTATCAACAGTTTAAAATGAATGCAGTCCATCCAAAGGTTGCCTAGAAGCATCAAGCAATTACTCTTAGCGATAATGCCACCCCTGGTACATGTTTAATTACTTTATGTCTGTAAAACCGTGGTGTACAAATAATCTATCTATATGTGTTGACGGGATTAACGAATTTATGATTTGTAACCACATCTCTTAGGCAAATCTGTAAATATAGTGTGTATTTACAAAGATTTAAGACGTGGTTAGTTTGGTTGCAAATGTATGTCTCAATGTGTGACTGATTGAATCATAGAGATAAAACCCTGAGGGAACAAGAGCGCCAATCTTGCAATATAGGCAAGAGAGATGGATAATAGATAGTACCCTCTATCTCTTTCTAGCCGAGCTCTGTGGTTTGCTGGGGAACAGGGGTTAATAAGTAGCCAATCGCAGCTTAGCTAAACAGAGACAGAGGGAAATATCGGGCATCCATCTCCCTCGTTGCTTGTATCGCTTCCACTTACAGGCAGTTGTATCCTATGTTCTCTCTATGAATAGACTAGATGATAGTGCGATTCTGAAACGCTCACCATTATAGCTCTATATTTCGGCTCATTTCTTTTTTGAAACTGGCCCTTCTAGCAAGGAGGATATTTCTTTTCCTTCTATGAAAATGGAAATAAAATTCGTACACAATATTCACATTTCGTTTATAACATAACAAAGCACTTACAAAATAGCAATTATGAGCTACAATAAATAACACCTATTCAGCAAATAATACTGTACATGACTGTTAATATAACTTAACATTCTTATCTTGAACTATCAAAAACGTGTGGTCACAATTCAACAGATTAAAATGGAGACTATGGGTAATCTAGAAAGTTTCCAGACTATAATTAATACCTGAATTAATAGGCACTTTTTTAGATAAATCATTATTTATTTATTTTATTTATTTTAATTCTTTTTGCACAAACAAAGTACAATGGCGGACTTAATGCCAAAGGCATTTTCTCCCAGTCTACCTTTGGGTGGTGGGGAAATGTCTGAGTAGGTGCAAGAAATTAAAATTAGGTTACATACATACTGAGATACACATACATATATATACTTGCTGAGTAATACATACAAGGCTAACATAATAACATATAAGACTTTAGGGATGTGATGAGTCTGCTAGTGTCGAAATAAAAATCATTAAATAATAAGAAATAAATAAAAAGAAATTGCCGATTGGTGTAGGTACCTTAACATTTTATTTAGTTTAAGAGCCATATTACCTAACAATATTAGAGAGGGGAAACTGATGTTCCCACTTTTTAATATTGTTTTTGTATAACAAATCTTAGCAACTAGGAACCGGTGGGATTTAAATGTTATTGAATGGCTTGATCAGTAAAGACTCTAGAGATAGCTAAAGTTGGAAGCTCTAATGCACATAGAGAATACAAGCGCTTCATACAATGGTAGGCTGACAAAATAATTAGAAATAGACAAGTTGGCAAACCACTGGATAAGATAACAACAAGTAGGTCCTACTCTTTTAAAGCTTTTTTACGGTAAAAGTGAGAATTGTAGGCATAAAAGGAATGTTGCCCCCACAAAAAGCGGGCAATTAAATAACACACAGTACCTAATGGTACCAATTTTTTAGAGTGGAAACTTTCTAAACCTAAGACAATTGTTTTCAAAACCGCGGGAAAGGAAGGAAAATTAAAAAAAAACTAATACATCATAAACGTCCATGAAATGGATATTGGGCTTTTTATCATTTTTTGTATCTACAAAATCTTAAAAATTTTCTATTGTCTCCTGATTTCATGTTGTTCAACACCACTTATTTGTAACTTTTATGTAATGTACGATGCGTAATTATTCTTTGAAAGATTTTAATTTTTCAAAATTTCTGTAACGATTTATTAAAATGTAAGATCAAAATGTGAAATCTTATAAAATAATATAATATCTATATATATAATAATATAAGACATATATATCTTTTAAAAAAAATCCTGACAGTTTTTGGAAAAATACTTCGTAGTTGACATATAAAATAACGTTAACATTTTGTCAATTTTGGTTACTATTTCAACGGATTCTAACTCATGACTGCTATATGCAGTTAATAGATTTTGGGAATAACATATCCACAGAAATCGTAATAATAAGACACTTTTTATTACTCTCTATATCTCTGTTACCGTTGTAATTAATTTAATTTAGTTGTAAAATTTAGGCATAGGTAGACTCCATAGTCTATGGGAGACAACTAGCGAGAGACTATCTTTTGGATCTATTATAATGGTAGATAAAAAAGGTAATAAAAAAACAACATTTCGTACTGTTACCGTTTAGCGATTAGCGTCATCATTATGTTCGAATTCAAGTATTTTACTACGGCGAATGATGTTTGACAACTATGAAATAAAGTTACTCCTTATATAGCTAAGCACACCATTCAAAAATTAGGAACATGAATGGAATAGTTTTGTAAATAAGTTAAAATTTTCTTAAGCACCACAAAATTCTTATTCTATATAGGTACTATACATTGAAAATGTAGTACAAAAAGGCGTTTTTTTTCTTTAAATCCAAATATGCAGCAGTTATGGTCCTTACATGTTAAAACTACAAATATCGGGTATTTAAACTCCAAAATGTTTATAATTATATGTCTATCATATCTGTCATTTATCGAGAAATATGGTGACAGTCGATATTTTCGTTTATAATTATCGATTTTTAAAATGTTTGATTTTTCAGATCATTATATTATTTAGTTTGTAAACATAATTGTTAGATAATATATACTATTAACCTTTAAATAATTTACTAGTGTTATCGAAAAATGCCGAATCAGTTTATATATTGTTTTCTCTTCTGAAAACATTGATTGGCAATAATTCCGCACGAGATTCGACCACAGATGAAAATCTTTGCTTTGATCATGAGCAGGTACAATCGAAGCAATGGTTTTATTTCAAATACTAAGCATAAAAATCGTCATAACAATTAAATGTCGGAATGGTTTTTTATTAGAAACGATGCAGAACTTGCATCATTCCATAAAGCGTGAAGCGTTTCGTTTTACTTGAGATTTTTGTGCCTGAGCTACCACAAGCGTTCGCCTTTACCTGTCGACAGAAAAAAAACATTTTCACCAAGAAAATAAAGTGATTTCGCATGCAGTTATGTGCCTACGATATTATTATCTCACAACAAATAGTAAGTATATGAAGAAGTATTGTTTAGTTACATGCGTTCAGCATGCTACCCTCCTGTATTAGTATCCACGTACATATAAAGCATTAGTAAGACTGAGGATTTAGAATGAAAAAATGTAACCAAAACATAGATACAAATAAAAAAAGTACTACGTAGGTTACGTTTGTTCATTTTTCGAAAATGAGTGCGGGTTGTTAAACGAGTGCACGACATAAAATAAATTTCGAATATACATACCATTTTTGATTTTCGAATTTCCACGTTCGTTCGGTTGTGATTTAAAGGATTTAAGGAAAATGCAAATGAAATGAAAATAAAAACAGAACGTTGTCGCCTTTCTGTTAATTCCAACACTCATTCTTTTATTGTGATTTTGGTATATTCCATTACATTGACTTAACATGATGTTCGCGCCTTAATATTTGTTGTGAGAATACAAAACTCAAGTAAAAATGCCATGACGTCATTCAAAGAAAATACTGAGGCTGTTCATTGTACAAATATACTGTCAAATGGTATTTATTTAATAAACAAACTTAGGTACTTGAGTAAATCTTGGTATCACTTTATTGACTGTTGTGCGCGAGTAAGGAATTTTCGCGAACGACGCCATTTCACCTTAGACGTATAAATGCCCTAAAATCCTCAATTTTTAAAAAATAAATAGTCAGTTTTCTACTTTAATTACATAATATAAATAGCGAACTTAAATTCTTAACAACTTTATACAAAATGAAAAAAAAAAATAACAAGAACTGTAAAACTATTGTGTAAATTTCGGTCCCATATAGCGAGTTACAGGAGAAGTAAACAGAAATGAAATAAAAAAAATGTTATCGCTATATCCACAACCATTCGTCCGATTAGCCACACTCGTAAATTATATATAAATTAATTAATTTATTACTACCTAGCTATAGTTAAAACTGGTATCTGACTAGGTGATGTAACGGACCGGTTAAAGTATGGAAATTACTTTTTTAATTATATTTTTGGCTGTACTTGCTACGCATCAAACATCAGTCCTATTAAAAAGTTTTATAACTGAAAAAAGTTAAGTCTATTCTTTATGACTTTAATTTTTTTTTAAATAGAACAGACGCACAGCAAGCAAGCTATGCCGTGCCTATAGTTGTGATGTGTATTAAAAACCTTACCCTAATAGATATGTACACAAGTTGCAAGTCTCTTTATCATAATATTACATATTACTAGTTATCAAACCTTACAGTTAATAATAACATTAATAAATTGCAAAAATTACAAATGTGTTTAAAATATTTACATCTTCAATAATAGAAGAAAAGAACTTTGCAAATACAAATTATAAATTATCGCTCAAGTTTAATAAGTTAGAGTGATGCAATAATATATACGGAATTCATCATAATTCGGCTATCAACTATCAAATTTCGACAAAATTCGTGAAATAGGAAAAATCAGTTCAAATAAAATTATAATTAATATAATTGTTGGAACTGTTAATGGAAATACTTAAAATGTTATAATCTCACTGGACTAATATTATTTATAATTTAAAGCTCCGAGGAGTAAAATGTTACCGATTTAAAATGATATATCTACATAAAAACGATATATATAGTGCAAAGTAATAGTAAAAAAGATGGAATCTCTGTATAAATTTTTCAGGATCGAGATTCGTTATCATATAAAAAATCATATTTTATTTACAAATGCCATGCACGGGGTTGGCAACTAAAATCCTAAATATTCCGTATTGCAACATTTGCAATAGTTCGTATTTTAAAAATATTCTCATATTTTCACTACAAGCGTACTCGACGTAATCACTGCTCACATCACCTGTGAAACCTGTCAACTGTGACCTGTCAAAATCTATATCGAACAAATCGGAGAGTAATAAAAATATGGCAATATACAAGTGCATTAAAAAAAATGAGGCTGATATTATCTAAAAGTCTGGTATCTGGAAATAGATGCATATTAAAAAAGTTTTCACAGTAGAGCCAGTGCGTCGTGAGTCGCGAGCTAAAAATTTTAAATTTATAATTGGAACGAGGTGGGTTAAGCGCCGGCGCATCTCTGGCTAGCAGTAGTACGTTATCGAGAGGCCCAATTTACACGTGTAGGAATGGGACATACTGCTTCGATTTGATATATCCTTGTTCTCGCATCGCTGTCCGTTGAAGCCTTCCGGACATCTGAGGAAAACAAACAGAATTCAGTTAGAAACTACACACAAGTGTATTTTTTAACAAAATAAATAAAATAAAATTTATAGATCTATTGAATCCGCAAAAGCTATATCCCGCCCACATTGCCACTGATGTGGCTTTTGAACACAGGAATCAACAACAGTATCAAACGAAAAATCTTAACGCTGTTTGTCCAGAGGAAAGTTAAAGCGTCTTGTTATATTTATATAAAGAATAAATAAGAAAAAAAAAACAACTACAAATAATATGGAAAATATTGTTCCCATTTCTGAAACAGATTTTTTAAGGAGGCGACGTTTAGAAAGCACACACTGAATAAAAGGTTGCGTTCGTTTATTATTTTTTTACTTACTTGCAAGCTTGTTCTTGAACGATTTCGAAGAACAAACAAGTGCCTCCATTGAGGCAGTACGACGAGGGGTCTGGCATGGGACAGGGCGAACCCAATGACGCTGCAAATTAAAATAATTACATTATAAAAAAATGAATTAAACTGGCTTTTACTCATACCATTGCACGTGTTTATGTAATATTCATCATTTGACTACCAAACGACTGACTGTGCGTTTTTTTAAATCAAAAGTACAAAGATTGATTGGTGGTAGGTGACAAAGGCGTAGCTACGGTAGGTGGATGCTGTAATCCATATACAAACATTGTTTTTTTTTTATGAGTATCGAATTACGAGTTAATCAAAAAGTACAAAAAAAAATCTCTAGCATATTTCTGCTAAAGCGCGCGCGAACCATAGACACTTTTTTAAATTTATTTTGGCGTGGTTTTTTTCTTACTCTAACAAATCCTGACTACGCACTGCATGTTTGATAAATATGATTCAACACGCAACTTATAAACTCACATAATAATATCGTTTAATATTTTACCTATGTTTGGCATCTGCTACAAATGCTCTGAAGTCCTATTAACTGTAATGCAGTCAATGTGAGTATCAAACAGCGAATATTCAACAGCTTGTAAACAATGAGTTGATCATATCACCCTATTGGCCTGTTTACATTGTTAACATTTTCACGGAACAAGCTGTATTAGTTTCCCAAGTTACCGTACTTTGAGACGGTAAACACGTAGTGGTGTGTATTTTTGTTTACATTTGGAAAGCAACTGTATTGCTGAGTCGTTTATCACGCAACAATCTTATACCTATGTTGTTATATTGAGGGAAACTGGCAATAATAATTCATTTGTGAATTATAATTATCAGTTTCCTTTAATATAATAATAATGTATTAATCTTATTATCTTAATGAGTACTATGTATACTCGTATAGACAAGCTTGTTGTGGCTACTACATTGCATATAAGATCAAATTAAATAAATTGCTCACCGCGGATAAACCACGGAATTAAAGCAACAGCAGGTATAAGCATACCTTTTTTCAAGAATTAGGTAAAAAATAATCGGATTTGTAAGTAACTTCAGGTAAATCTATTACTGCACAGAGTATGTTTTCATTATTATAAAAAAATGGGCTAACAAGCAGACGTAACACCTGATGGAAAGTGACAACCTCGGCACATAAACGTCTACAACTCCTGAGTTGTGACTCCTGAGTCACAAGCACGAGTCAAGTCATTAATAATAATAATATTTTCGGAGATCTGACACACAACGCCATCTATTTTCAAATTAAGCAGAGCTTGTACTGTGAAAGTTAGATTAACTGATAAATACCTATATACTTTTTTTTGTAAATACATACATATTACACAAAGCAAACATCCAAACTCCGAAACAAATATTTGCAGATCATACAAACATTTGATCCGACCCGGGAATCATGAGGTATGTTTAGAGTGTGTAGTAATGGTACACAGATTTATCTAGACCCGAACTAATCATATTTTGGAGCTTTGTAATAGATTCTAGAAAATTGATTGTATTTTATAAAAATTATATAAAAACAGCTGCCGTAATACAAAAGACATATTCATGCAAAACATTTAACTGAGGTCAAATTTAAAGTGTAAAATTTTAACATTACAGTCAAAATACTCTAAGTATTTTATGATTCACTCAGCTTGTTATTGGTGGTTCTTTAAAACCAATATCAAGATTTTTTTAGAAGGTTGGTAATGAATTCAGTCCGTGTGGTGACGGAGTCCGTGTGGTGACGGAGTCCGTGTGGTGACGGATTAAGAATACAAATTGTCACCACCCCAATTCATCCCGTGGGTGTCGTAAGAACCGACTAAGGGAGCAAACTAAGCAGGACAACAGCACTGCAAAGAGAAGGAAAACTTGAAACAAACCCTATACCAACCCGTCTGGCCAGCGTGGTATAGTAGGCCAAAATCTCCTTTCTAAGGCCTATGTCTAGCAGTGGACTAGTATAGGCTGTTGATGATTGATGATGATGATGATGGTAATGAATTTAAAAATGTTTACCTGAGTCATCAGGCGCTGGTGCTAGAACGGTGACATTGGCGGTGGCTATCGCCGGCGGTCCAATGGCACCTTGCGCTCTGCATTCGTACTTCGCCGTGTCTTCACTACGAGCATGTCTTATCACTAATACCGAGCGCCTCCTGAAATATAGTGACAATAAATTACACAAATATTACGGAACAAGACACATTGAGACCCCTCTGTGCCTCGGAGAGCACGTTACGCTATCGGCCTGGTTGCCATTCGATCTTTGGCAATCGTCTTTCAAAAGTCTGTTCGAAGTTCTCTATTCGATGTTGTCTAATAATTAGGTTGTGGAGATCTGATGGCACTCGCTCCGTGGTCTCTTATGCATTTAAAATAATATTTAAAAAAAAACTAAAAAACACGCTTTTTATAGAAAACCAAACTAAAAAATAGAAAATAAATTTGAAAAAAAGCGTTGGGTGCCTGTTGTCAATAGTAAAAAGCACCCCACACTTTTTTTTAGTGTTTTAAGTTTTTTTTTAATATTTTTTTTTTTAAATTAGTGTATTGTCATCGGTCCTCGATATACCTACAAAGTTTGAACGAATTCTGACTGTTTAACGTTAGTCAAAATCACGCCCAAAGGAGTTGGTTACAAACAAACATACAAGCATACAAGTGAAGTTAATATAAAGCGTGTAAAAAAAAAGCGAAGTTCAGCCGTACGATAAGCCTTAGGACAAGCCGTTGGCTTGGGAGTTGTCCCACCCTAGTTTGGGACAAAACTGCGAGAAAAATTACGGAACAATATTTTTCTGTTGATCCGGGCATTGAAAAAAGAATTACTAATGTAACTAAACATCGGTCAAGGCAAATCATCCGCCGATGACGCGTTGGAAGGAACTTCTGCGAAACAAACTTTAATCTCTATACAAAGACCAATAAATTGTAACAAGTACTTAAATAAAATTGATAGTATTGTGCTAAAACTCTCACAAATCATTTGAAGTACGCAAATCTCGCATAACACTGTGAAAACAATTCTCGTTCTATTTCCAGACGTCTGATTCATTTGGCAAAAGGTCTTCTCTATTCGTGCAAAATATCTAAATCATCATCAATATCCAACGACCCGTGAAATTGCTAGCAGTGCTCAATCAGAGTACCTAATAATTATTTCATACAATTGCAGTTCAACTTTGAAGTGGTCGTATACAATTCTAATGCACCAGGTTTACGGTTTAATTCAGCTTGTTTTGATTTTAAAGTTGTTTTGGTGATGAAGTCGGCCGGTCAATGACTGTGGCCTGCAATTGAGATTAGTGCAGAAATCGTTTTGTTCTGACAATTAATGTAAGGGCCATAAGCTACATGGTATGCTCCATTTGATTGCAAACAAGATTGCAACCTTTGAACACAAACATGATCTAGTTTTGGATCAAGATCAACACTGCAAGTACAAGTTAACTAGGTCATTACGATTGGAAGATACGTTCCACAAGTGATTAATAATTATTTATTATTAATGTGCTTCATTAGACGTCTGGTAATGATTCATATTTATATTACATTCATGGTACCGTTCTGTAATTTATTAAATTATCCACATTTTGTTTTTGGTGCGTACGTGGGTGTCGTAAGATCCGACTAAGGGAGAAAACTATGCAGAATAACAATACTGCAGCAAGAAGGAAAACTTGATACAAAGCCTTTTTTTTTTTTTTTTTTTTTTTTTTTAACGTGTGGAAATCCCCTCGGACCGTCACCCCTCCGGGGTTTGCGGCGGGGTGGTGTGTCGGACTCGGACCGACTAAAACCACACGGTGTGCCACTCTGCGCCTGTAACAGGAGGGATCCGGGAACAGCTGTTGTTAAGACATCCGGACCCCTCCTAGCGCCAGCCCGCTCCTGGTGCGGGCTCCGTCTCAATGTGGATGTTCCTCTCTTTAGGCGACGTCCGGCACACGCGGACGCCGCCCCCTCGCGGCTGGCCAACTAATGCGGGTGGAGGGGAAACCCACCCCGTCCACCCGCGGCCACACTCAGGGCGGCATGAGGCTGTGGTAGGCGGGCCTCCGCCGCCCGGTTCGCCGGCGGCGGATCGGGTCCGAGTGGAGGTCGTCCTCCCGGGCCCTTTCCGCCGCCTCCTTCCGCGAGATTACTACCTCGCAGAAGGTTGCGACCGCGGTAAAACAACTGTCGCTACCGGCCATGGAGCGTACTACGGCCGGTAGCGAGAGATCCACTCCGATGACTGCAGTGAGGGCCCGGCGCTGCGCCGCCCATGCGGGGCAGACCGCCAGCGTGTGCTGGGCCGAGTCCTCACTGCAGTCGCAGTGGTGGCAGGCGGGACTCAGTTCCCTCCTAGCGACCGTGTGCAGGTACTTTCCGAAGCAACCGTGCCCGGAAAGCACCTGCGTCAGTCGGAAGGAAAGGGTCCCGTGCTGCCGCCCTGCCCACTCGGCGATGACCGGCTGGAGAGCCTCCACGGCGGCGAAGCCAGCGCGTGGAGTCTCCAGCCGGAACGACCAACGAGCCATCGTGGCTTGGCGAGCGGCTTCGCGCCACTCGCGCACATCCTCGGGCGGAGGGCGAAATCCGCTCTCCGCCCGGTAGTCAGCCACTCGCCGATAAACTTCGGCGAGCACTTCCGCCTCCAAATCCCACGGGGGAGTTCCGGCCAACGCGCACGCCACATCCGTCGAAACGGTGCGGTAACCGCGTATGGCTCTGACCGCCATTACCCTCTGAGGGCGCCAGAGGCGTACCCTATTCTGGGCGGTCAGAGCCGCCGCCCACACCGGTGCACCGTACAGTGCCATTGACCGGACAACCCCCGTGTACAGCCGTCTTGTCGCGACGCTGGGTCCACCCATATTGGGCAAAAGTCGCCCTAGGGCAGACGCAGCGCCGACCAGCTTTGGAGCAAGCTGTCGGAAGTGCTCGTCGAAGAGCCACCTCCCGTCGAGGATCAGGCCCAGATATTTCATCTGGGCCCGAACCGGTACGAGGACCGAGTTGACCACGATTGAGGCGCCAGGGGGTGGACCACGACGGGGCCCATGGAATAACAGGGCCTCCGTCTTATCTAGGGCCACCCGTAAGCCCAGCGCCTCAATGCGCCCGACCACCAGGGAGACTCCCCCTGTGGCCAGGCGCGCCGCCTCTTGGAAGTTTGCCCCCCGGGCTGTCACGAGGGTATCGTCTGCATAACAGATTACACCCAGCCCGGGGGGGAAATCGGCGCGAAGGGCCCAGTCGTACCCTATGTTCCACAAGAGGGGTCCAAGAACAGACCCCTGTGGAACACCGCACGACATGGGCCGACACCTCAGATTACCTTCTCGGTCCTCGTACACGACGGTACGCTCCTCTAAATAGTCTGCCACTAGCCGCCTCAGGTACTTTGGCACCCCATGATAGTGGAGTGCTTCCCTGATGCAGCTGAATGGCAGACTATTGAATGCGTTGGCGATGTCCAGTGACACCGCCAACAGCACGCCGCCACAGCTCACGGCCTCTTCGGTCACGGCCCTCAGGCGCAACACGGCGTCGACTGTCGAACGCCCCGCCCGAAAACCAAACTGGGCGTCCGACAGATCGGGGCCCACCTCGCAGAGGTGCCGGACGATGCGGGCAGAAAGAACCCTCTCAAACAATTTGCCCGCCTCGTCCAGCAGCACGATGGGCCTATAGGCCGCGACCGAATCGGCTGGCCGTCCCGGCTTCCTCAATAGGACCAGCTTCCCGCTTTTCCAGCACTCAGGGAAGCGTCCCGACGCCAAGCTAGCGTCGAACACCTCCCCGAGGCGGTCTGCCATGTGGTTGAGGGCCAGGGCCAGCACTCGGGCCGGTACCCCGTCTGGCCCAGGGGCGGTGTTCTTGGAACGGATCCGTAGAACAGCCGCCCCTACCTCCGAATCCCGGACGGGCGGAACATTGTCCTCCCCGTGCTCCCCGTCGTCTCCGGCCAGGGAGGCCATCGACGGGGGAGTGTGTTCCGCTCGTTGTGGGAAAAGGCCCTCAACCACTTCTCGCAGGAAGCTGGGCTGGAGAGTCTCCGTAAGGGGGGGGCCCGACGCGCGGAGCTTTTGTCGCACCGCGCGGTAAGGGCGACCCCAGGGGTCACGATTAAGACCCTCCAGCATCTCCTGTCTCTTTTCCTCTTTGGCGCGGCTAATGGCCAGCTTCAGAGTTTTCCGCGCCCGCCGGTACCCCTCATGAAGCCGGTCCTCCTCATCGTCTCCACGGTGACGCCGCCGACTGCGTGTGTAGGACCTCCGGGCACGTGTACAGGCCGCACGGAGGTCCGCCAGCTCCTGGGACCACCAGTAGACCTCCTTCCTTGGAGGCCGACGACCTCGAACGCGGGGCATGGCCGCATCGCATACATGCGTAATCGCATCGCGAAAGCGGCCAGCCCCCACGTCGACCTCCTCGGTCGGAGCCTGAGGAGACAGCCACGAGTGAATTATGGCTGCCTCCTCTAGTAGGTCCCGGTTCAGCCTGGCAACAGCCCACCGCGGAAAGCGGGATAAACGCCGCGCCACGTGACCCCTACTGGAGTCCTGGGTCCGGGAGAGCTCAAATCGGATATACAGGTGATCCGAGAGCGTCTCAACCTCTTCCAGGACACGCCAGTTCCTTACTCGTGCGGCGAGGGCAGGGGTAGCGAACGAGAGGTCCACTATCGACCCCCCCTGCTGTCGCACGCACGTGTTGGTGGAGCCTCTGTTTAGAAGACAGAGGCCCACCGAGGCCGCCCACTCCTCTACGGCCTCGCCCCTGGCGTCCGTCCTGGGGGAACCCCACGCAATGGACTTTGCGTTGAAGTCCCCCAGCACAAGGACGTGCCCAGACGCTAGTCGCCGTATCGAGGTCTCCAAGCTGATTAGGAAAACCTCGAAGTCGTTCAAACTCCGGCTGGGGGAGAAATAGACACCATATATGGTGATCCCCCCCCACTCGACGGCAACATATCCAGTGCCCTTGTCTCTTAGCGACAAGGGCGGGGAATGAGCCGTCGTGGAACCGACGACTGCCACGGAGCCGTCCCAGTCACCCATCCAGTTTGGACGGGGAGGGACAGAATAGGGCTCCGCGACTACGGCAACACCTATCGACCACTGTGCCATGGTTTGCAGGAAGAGATCCTGCGCCGCGGCACAGTGGTTCAGGTTCGTCTGGACCAGGAGGTTGGAGACTTGATCCATTACTGGATCGTCTCTACAACCTCCTCCATGGGCGACGACGTCGACGCACGAACTACATCGGAGGCAGCCTGGGTCGACTGGCTAACCCCCGACGTCTGCCGAGAACTGCGGGGAGGCTTGCAGCCTCTCTGCCCCATCTGGTGATTGGCGGGCTTATTGCCCGCCGCACACACTGGGCAGTGAGGGGCGGCAGAGCATTCTGCCGCCTTATGCCCCGGTTGACCGCAGCGGAAACACAGTCCGCCGCAGTCAAAACAACTGTCGCACTTGACGCGCGTGTGTCCCGATGCCAGGCATTTGTAGCATCTCATCGGTCTCGCCGCCAGGACTGTGATCCTGGCGCTCACGAAACCGATGAGCAGCCTGCCGGCGTCGGCCAATACTTTGGCCGACGCTACGGGACAGCTGACCCACACGGCGCCAAGCCCTCCTGGACCGGGGCGGATGGTGCCGACCCTGACGTTGTCCGCGCTGCACCCCGTCTTCTCCCGGATTACAGCGCGGACATCTTCGGCCGTCACTGAGTCGTCCAGGCCCGAGATGCGCAGTTCCGCGCACTTGGTAGGCCTGGCGACCCTGACACCATCTGTGGCTGCAAATATTCCCCGCAGCTTCTCAGCGAAGGAGTCCGCCGTCTTTGCGCCTTCAGCCCCAGGGAACTCGAGAACTCGAGCTCCCGTCTGGGCGAGGCGCATCCTGACCCCCACCGTTCCGAAGTCGTTGGCGAGGCTGTCCCGGGCCTTTTTGAAGACGGCCGCGTAGGACAGCCCGCCGTCCGCCGCCTCCGGGGACACGGTCACCACTACAGCCGCGGTTTTGGGCGGCTGCAGCTTCCGCGGCCTCTTTGTGGAGGCCTTTGCCACCGGTGGCGAAGGCTGGGCCTGGGCTGCTTTTTTGGCAGCCTTTTTGGCCCGCCTTCGGGACTTCTTGGAGCCCCTCGCCTCCTGCCAACCCTCGTTGGAGGGGGCAGGTGCGGAGGGAATGCCACTCCGCTCCTCGGCGCCGTTTTAGGCCCCGTCTTGGCCGGCGCCTGGGGATGTGCCTTGGCCGGCGCCTTAGCCGGTGCCTTGGCCGGCGCCTGGGCCGGTGCCTTGGCCCCCCTCCTCGGCTTTTGGGGAGCCGATGGAGTCGGGGCAGACGCCGCCGCCGCGTAGGAGACGCGGCCTCCCGCTACGGGCAGCGCGGTCGGAGCGGCGGCCTTAGGCCGCTGTGCCGACGCGAGCGGGGGGCGCATACTCGGCGCAGGGGGCAGTCTCGCCTCCAGGCCAGCCAGGCGTCCGTCCAGCATATTCCCAACTGCGATGAGGATTTCTCGCAGTTGGGAGTCAAATGCCCCTGAGTTGGTGGTAGGGGCAGGCTGGGACGCGGACGGGGCTTCCCGCTCGGGGAGGTTCGCCTGGAAGCGGGCGAACTGAGCGCTCAGCTCGTTCACCCGCTCCGTCAGCTTCTCGTTGGCCACCTGCAGGCGAGAGACGTCGCCCGCTAGGCCCTCCACGACCTCCGACAAAGCGGAGGAGGAGTCCTTAAGGGCCCTCACAAACGAGCCCTTAAGGTTCACGGATTTGGTGGCCACCTTGTTGATGACGGCCACCGCCGCTTTCGCCCTCTCCTGCACGGACACGGGAGCCTGGGGGGCATTTCCCCCCACCGGCTCCCGAACCTTGAGCAGGAGATCCGCGATCTCCTCCTCCGCTACGGCCTCGCCGTCCACCCGTACACTTCTGTAGGACTCCGCGTTTGAGAACGCGGAGCCTGACGGGGTTAAGACTGGGGCCGAGGCCGGTTTGCGCGCCCTCCCTCGGCGGCTGCTTGCCACCTTTGGTGGCATCATTTCGCCGGACGTGTCGGATTCCACGTCCCCTGAGCGTCCGCGTTTCCGGCTGTCGCTCCGCTCCGCTTCCATGGCCTCCGCGCCATCCGATGAAGCGGCGGATCCGGAACGCAGCCGATCCGATGCTCTTCGGCTCCCAGTGACCAGAGTCAGACTGACCTCTGGGAGCCCCATCGAGATAGGCGTTCCCGACACCATCTCGCCCTCAGTGGACGACCCATCCGCTCCACTGTTCTTCTTTTCCTTCCTTGCCTTCGTTTCCTTCGTTGCCGTTAGACTTGCCTTTGGTTGTTGTTTTGTTCCGATCGTTTTCTTTGATTGAGTTTGATTATTGTCCATAATTGATCCCACGAGTGGGGGAGAACTAAAGGTCCACCCGGGCAGAGATCCCCCATTACCCGGGCAAGCGTAAGTTTTTAACCCAACCGAGGGGTCCGCAGGTACCTCGGCTTGGAGTGCGCTCGCGACTGAACTTCCCATCAGCCATGCATCCCCTGGCCACGCACCAGAACACGGGATTCGGGGAATTTTTTTAGAGAGGTTATCTTCCTCGCGGTCCGGGCGGTTAAGCCAAGACCCTCGTCCCCGATCAGAGCCGCGAGACTTAACCACAGCGCTCTTCTCGGGATTACGATATGCCGACGGTTGACAGGGAGACTACGTCCCCCTGCCTGCTCGGTGGTAGTGTGAGTACACGCCGAGCCCGTCCTCCTTTCTCCACCGCTATCAGCGGAGAAAACTGTGGCCCCTACAGGGCCCCGCCATCAGGTTTTTTACCGAGGTTTCCTCCTCCATGCTCCGAAGAGCGAAGAGCCAGCAGGGCAACCGGCAGACACGCCCACCCTGCTGGACCAGGCCTTGCCCGAGAGCCGATGAACGGCTGCCTCTTCTGCTAGAATATTGGCCGCTGGCGATAATCCTCTCCTCCAAGAGGACAAGGAGGAAACAGTACCATCGCCAGCGTTTCCAGGGTGCACCACGAGGAGGTTTTCTAGCCCAGCACCCCAAGCCTATACCAACCCGTCTGGCCAGCGTGGTATGGTAAGCCAAAACCTCCTTTCTAAGGAGAGGTCTATGTCCAGCAGTGGACTATTAAAGGCTGTTGATCTGATGTGATGACGTTTTATTCTAAGGTATACCTTGACTGAATTTTATTTTCTGCGTGCAACGCAATCTTTTTGCAGGAAGCTGGGGAAGCGTGCGCTATTTGATATACTTTGTGTTACTTATGTCAAGAAGTACCCTTAACGTTGACTGTATATGCATGTTTATGTACTGTGTATACACATAATTATTATTTTTAATATTGAATACTGTACGCCATTTTGTACAAGCACTTTTCATAGACTACTCATGATTTCTTCTATTTATTGTCGATTTGTCCATCATGATTTGTCGTCACATGTACTTCTTGTGGAAATCAGTCAAAACAATAACTTTATTTATATTTAATTTCTACTATTATGTTAATGTATAATAAATGTCCGTGTGGTGACGGATTAAGAATACGGAATGTCACCACCCCTATTTATCCCGTGGGTGTCGTAAGAGCCGACTAAGGGAGCAAACTACGCAGGACGACAGCACTGCTAAGAGAAGGAAAACTTGAAACAAACCCTATACCAACCCGTTTGGCCAACGTGGTATAGTAAGCCAAAACCTCCTTTCTAAGGAGAGGCCTATGTCCAGCAGTGGACTGTTATAGGCTGTTGGTGGTGGTGGTGGATGTTAATAATACATTATTCAATGTTTATCAAAGAAATCTTACCTAAAATTTTGCACCCGGAATCTCCTTAATGCGATATCAGCGACGGGGTTCCCGTCCTTGTACCACGTTATGCGTGGTGGCGGCCGGGCGCTTGCCTTGCATTCTAGACGCACCCTGTTGCCGCGTGTTGTGCGTACCGACTGCATTGGTTCGACACGCGCTTGGCTACCTGGGAATAATTAAAACAGGTTAAACATTGAAAGAACAGAAAAGAAGGAAACAAAATTCTATAAGCTTTATCATGAAAATAAAAACAACATCCGTCAAACAACAGTATTTTCAGTTGTCCAGTATATGAATGTGAAGGACAACTGCCAAAAAATTCAAATGACATTATGTTTTAACAATGTATTATTTTAAGTAAGTAAGTTTAGTTAAATGGGTGCAAGCTATATAATTACGTAATTGTAAGAAAAAAATTACAACGCGTAATATATTTATAAACCGCGTGTGTTTTCTTTTAAATTTTGTGGCACAATGAGTAAAAACATGTACACAATTAACACAAGAAGAAGAGTGATTAATAAGAAGATTGTTGGACATATTACACAGCACTACCTGAGCTCAAGCTTAGCACACCTAGTGCTATAAGTTATAGAGCAGGGATTAACACTTTATTACTATTTCTATTTTTTCAATATTTACAGAGCAGTAATCGAACTTGAGACATGATATTCTAAAATTACAACTCAACTACAATAACTGAAGCTCGTCAAACAGAAAATTTCTGAGTTTACTTCAATATAATCATAAAATTTACTGCTTCTGAGAAACCAAATGGCTCATAACAAGAAAAATCAGAGACAACGAGTCCAGATTTATCTTTTCGGCTCGTTCATACGACTTCCAGTGTTCTAGTATCCTAAATTATGTCTCATTAAAATTTGCTAGAATGGAAATGAAAAACAGCAAAGATCGGTAAATCCGTATCATCGGTTTTTGATACCGCACAAGGAACACTTAAATACGTCGCCTTTAAATGTCCCGGACTAAAAATAAGCCGCTGTCATTAGGCCAATGGCCTTATTATTTTGTGTGACGAGTAACATATGTAAGAACAGAAATAAACTCGGTATTATCTAAACGGGAGTCACTCGTTTGGACAACATCCCATCCACGGGCGACGGAAAAAAATTGGCCGTTCTTCAGTGTGTAAAGTGAAAAAAAAGCAAAGGTTGTAAATCATTAACTATGACTTAAGTATGTGTCATCTTTAATGTCTGGCTGGAGATAGGTTGGCTTGCGAAACGTTCTGTTCAGTACATATTTTTATATTAATACGACTTCCAGGCAAACGATGAAAGCTTTATATGATGTGATATTATAAATTTTGACCAAACCTTAACATAATTTGGCAAAGAGCCGCGTTACGTGGTGTTTTGTAACAGATGCAGCAGTGGATTTTTCCGAATAAAACACCTAAAAACGATTTTTAATGATTCGATGTTCGTGGAATTTGAATTTAATTTTATCAGTCACTAGATGACGTTCGTCTGAATTAAAACAAGTGCATTTTTTCTTCCGTGAGTTTAATTTTAATTAAAAAGCTTATATTTAATTTTATTTTTTGGTTACTTACTAAGCCATTCCGTTAACATGGACACATCAGTTTCATCAATTAAACATAACCCTAGAACACAATGATTTTTCATTTCCATGAATTTAAAATACAATATAATATAATATTTACCTAAATGTCTACCAACCAAGAGATCGAGCTGATGTTACGTATTCAACCCACTCATAATTTCTGATGCCTCATATTTTAAAGGCAATTATTTTATCATTTTAAAATTTACCCGCTTTAGCTAGCTTAGCTTAGCTTAGCTTTAGATAGCTTTAGCTAAATCAAATGGCTAGAACAGGTTATCGTTCCAGAAAATTCCTAAATTCCCCCGTTTAAACAAAGTCCATTTCCGATCATTGTTTTCCCTTCTTATCTTCCTTTTATTTCAGTACACTCCTAATTTGCCTCCTAATTTCAGTACACTCCAATTGTTAAAGTGCCCGGTTGATAACAATAGGCTAACTCCCTATTACGACATCATCATCACCTACTGCTGGATATAAGCCTCTCCTTAGAAAGGAGGCTTTGGCCTACTATACCACGCTGGCCAGACGGGTTGGTATAGGATTTGTATCAAAATTTCCTTCTCTTTCCAGTGCTGTTGCTCTGCGTAGTTTGTTTCCTTGTCGGCTCTGACGACACCCAAGGGACACTCCGTATTCTTACTCTCCCTATCATATATGTGGAACTGAACTTATTTTTGGCTAAATGTGCGTATTTAATTAGTCTCTGCTTACCGCTTTTAAAATATATTACCGGGCCTGTTGGTTTAGTGGTTAATAAAACAAACTGCTAATCTGACAATTAATTGTGTGATAAGGGCGATCCTTTTATCTGTGTTTGAGGGTCTTATTTGTCTATAATATGTATGTATTTAGAATTCTGATCATCAGTAGTTTGGTTATCATAGCACAGGCTCTACCTAGTTTAAGATCTGAGAGCCGTGTGTGAGATGTAAAAAAAATACAAAAATATTTTTCACATTGCTTCAGAATATTAGCAGATGTTTCCGTTTCCATGTTTTCTTTAGCAAATAAAGTTTGTAATTTGTCAACACGGCTTGCTATTATCTCATTTTCTCCAAACAATAATCTCCTGTCTGTCACGTTTCCTCTTTCCGTCATAAACAATGTAGGCGGTAGAATTCACTTAAGTTCACACACGTGACCAGAGCTGAATGAATGGAGTTAAAACATGCCAATTCCACCATCCACATCTCACGGTGACGTCAAGATATTATAACAGCATGGAACTTATGAATGAAAGTGCGTGAATTCTTTCAACTGGTCGTATCTTATGACATGTGGCGTCATGATGCTAATGACCTTCTTCCCACCCCTTAATGTGTGACGTAATTGGGTAGATGATCTCTTACTAGTAATGTTCCAAAGGAATTAATGTATCTGTACGTTATACACTCACGTCTTTGCCCCCAAAAGAGGTAGACATACATGTATTAAACGCCTACTGTCTGTATTGTATTGTATTGTACGCCTTTGTCGGCTGTAATATTAGTGCCATTTACGTGACAGGAGGCAAACCTATTGCAATCAACACATATAAAAAATCTTACATATTGCTAAATTCACACATATTATAGGTAAATTACACACAACAAAATAATAATAATATCTCACACATCTCACACACGGCCGTCTGATTCCAAACTAGGCAGAGTCGGTGCTATGGTAACCAGACTGCTGATAAACATACCTAAAATGGTCGTACTTGTCACACAATATCTGTCCTGGGTGGAAATCGAAATGACTTCTTCTGGCATGGCGGTCAGGATTGCTAACCACTGATGATTTTCATGATTTCATTTACAAGGAATTTATTTTTATTTGAGGTAAAATTCGGATCAGATTTTAGTACTCAGAGCAACAGACATCGTCATTGCTTATTATACACTAGTTGGTACCCGCGACTTAGTTCGCGGAACTTGAAAAGAACTGCCTTAGTGGGTTTGATTCCCGGACCGGGTAAAATATAAATGGGGTTTTCTGAGGGAAAAATACTTTAAGTTACTCCTTATATAGACAGCTACCTGGTAGTAAAATATTATCATAATCGGTAGAGCTGGCCGGCTGGTCGGCTGGTTTTTAGGCAATCGTGCAAATAACCGTGTGAGCATAAAAAAAACATGTTTTTTTTTACCTTACAAACCGACACTTCAATTTTATTTATTTGTATAGAAAAGTATAGATATCATCGGACAGGTAATCTGTGAGGTAAGACAAGAATCTGAAATGCTGTTATCACCTTTTGACAACAAATGAATAGTTATTTGCAGTTTAATTATAAATCAAAACATAACAAATAAATGAAATGATAATAGGAGGTATAACGTCATAAACCCTTATTCCATACAAGTTTTAATAAAGTTAACAGAATGTAATATAAAGTCGCATCAATAGCCTTTAATAGTCCACTGCTGGACATAAGCCTCTCCTTAGAGAGGAGGTTTTGGCCTACTATACCACGCTGGCCAGACGGGTTGGTATAGGGTTTGTGTCAAATTTTCCTTCTCTTTGCAGTGCTGTTGTCCTGCGTAGTTTACCCCTTAGTTGGCTCTTACGACACCCACGGGATGAATAGGGGTGGTGACACTGTATTCTTAATCCGTCACCACACGGACCATAATATAAAGTACTGCCGTTTAATTTACTGGTCACTCTACTACCGTATTATTACAGCAAGTTTCAAATTTCCATGACCCAAAGAGATTTTCCTATAATCTTGCGACGCTGACATCATCCGCTAACAATTCAGACATCAAAAAAATTAGTCTACGAGCGAAGACCGTGGCTAATCAAATACATCGTCACCTCATATAAATAGTCCAAGAGCTTGGTACCACATCCTGAACGGAAACTGAATTGGAACATCACAGGTGAGGTGAACTGGACAGGAGCCAACTGACTCACACCACGGTGCCGTTGGCGACGCTTGAGTGACGAACAATTGTCCAATGATGTAAAGAGCCTCGAGGTCACCGATCCATTACCTGAAGTGTCTTTGTACCCTGTTAATTGATATAGCCGCAATGAAAACATTTGGCACTATCTGAACAGCTATTAGGTTGCTTCTGTGAGTCTCAATAATACATTTATTGAAATATATTGATGTAATCAGCTGAATCATTCACGACTGTCTCAAATAAAACATTTTATTTTATTGTATTGCACTCATTGAGTGAAATATAACTTTGGGAATTTTGTTTTACAATTTTCCCGTCCAAACTGCTTGCCCCGTCACATGCCACAAACGGAAAGATAAAAAGTCTACTGAATTCTATTTATTTGTTATGGAATTTATATTCGAAATGTTCTGTTAAAAGAAACATTAATTTCATTTGAAAAAGCTGCTTTTGTTTGGTTACGATAAAGATGAAAAGTGATATAAAATAAAACAAGTAACCATTAAAGAGTGGTCTCGAAAGACGAGAGTCTGAAAAGCATTTGAAACAGAGTTATGATTGATTGATTCGTTATCTAAATAAGAGGCGACTATAAAACAATTTGTTTATCCAGTAATGAAAATAAGGGGCGTTAGTGTGCTTAACGCCTGTTATAAATATCCAACAGTAATTAAAGACACGCAGACGAGCCGACCGACTCAAAATAAACTACTTTTTTATTTTTAACTCTGCGCCACAATAGATGCAGCTTAGCTCGAATATTTGTACGTCTTATTTGCTTGATGGTTATTGTTGTTTCTTATCGATTCATTGCAGTTTACTTGTTGGGTGAAATGTATAATAACATTGACGATTATGTTCGGTATTAAGAATTCGATTGGATTTTTGACACGATCTTTTTGGAATGATAGAATTTACTAATGCTATGTTTTTTGTTACACAAAATGAATTAGAAACATAATACACAACTTTGTAAATGCTTAAACTGAATTTGTCTTTGACACCAGTTGATATGCCAAGGCTGGTGGTTTTACAACTAGCAACTCAAGATTAAATAATTCAAATGAATTGCATAGTTTTTAGACTTTCATTACTCATGAGAGTCTGAAAAAAGTAGAAGTGTTCGAAATTTGAATAGGATTCTGTTGTACTAATATATTATATGTATGTTTTCAAGTGTATGTATATTTTTTTACTTCACTATTATTGGCTTGGGAGGTGTTGTTAAATTCGTCATACTTGTGAGAGTGACACTGGGTAAATTAAATAGCCATTTTGCAAAGTTTAAGTAAGTAGTTATGATTTCTTTGTTCAATAATTGAATTACAGTTCTTTTTTCGATATTTTGAACTAAATTTGAAGAATGCCTGTTCGAAATCTACTGTCATAGTTTTCAAATAAACTCATAGACTAACTTTTTTTTTATTTTCCTCATGCAGGTTTTAATACTTCAAGTCAGTTGCAAGAACTTCTTCGAATCATCAGTATTTTTAAAGGTCAATCTAAGTATTATACCGTAAATAGAAACTAATAGACATAACATTTTTTTTTATACTGGACCTTAATGGCTGATGGGTGAATATACTTTGTGTGATCCACAAATTGTTGTTCTGAGTCTGGGTGTTCTTTGTGTCCGTTTCATGTATGTTTGTAAAGTCCCCCGCGACACAGGATATATTCCTAATAATAAATATATTCATAAAAAAAAAAAACACAAATACACAATGTAGACTCCGTTGGCAATAACAGCGTGTTTTTTTTAAATTATACTACATTATTATTATAGTGGAAAGTCTGTGTCAGTAGAATTCATGTAGAAATGTGTGATAGCCACAAACAACAGACGAGGTGAATGGGCACATTGAATCTTAAAACCTGGCAATGTACATATAATTGTTTAAAAAAAAAACAGCTTCAAATTTCGAACTTTAAATATCTAAAGCAAGTTTCTGTCATTCTAAAATGAACTATAATTTAAAGACAAAAGAGTGTAATTTAGCGTTAGCGTTAGTGTTTAACAATTTTTGCATCTAACACCTTAAATGCCCGACAGGCGACTTAAGCTTTAGACTTAAAACGTGGGTATTTAATATTTAACTACCTTTACAGGTATGTAAGAGAGAATATTGTTATTTTATACCATTTCGTATCTCTTTTATAACTCA